TTCTGTGCTGGTGAGGACAGAGCGAGCTCTCACAGTTGACATGCAAACCATCAAGAAGCTTCCCAGATCACCGCTATGGTAGGGCGTAGCAACCAGGCAGCTGAACAGAGTTGTGCATGGACTGTTTTCTCCCTGAATCCTCCCTGCTCTTCCCTTGTTATTTGAGCATTTATCTAGGAGATGCGAAGGTCAAGTATATTGGCCTGTAGATGAGGGTGGTGTTTGCTTTGTGTCAGCTGGGAAACTGGGTGAGCAGCAGGCTGTCAGAGTTGCTTCACAGTCAGTGAATTCCCTGCTCCAGGCTCATCTGAAACACCGGTTTTTGAATTCCAAGGAAAGTGTTCTGAGGCCAGGAGAAGAGTAAATAACATGTCAGCCTTGAAAGCCCCAGCTGCACATGCCCACCTGAATGTCAATACGTGTGTGTGTATATATAGATGTGTATTTGTTGCCACTGCATTTTTTCCATTGTATATGCAGTACTCCACTGGTGTCTGTCCGTGATGCTGCATACTGCAAGTGTCTGGCTATGCTGTGTGCTGGCTCTGGTGTTAAGAGGAGAAGCAAAACATCTGAAGTATGTTACTGAAATAGTGACCAAAGCTGAAAAAAATGTCTGACTCCCAGGTTACTGAAATGTTAGAAATGCTCTTTTGTCAGGTCTTGGAACACGTTGTTTCCTGAAGCTGCTTATTCACAGCCCTCCAGTGTTGAAATGCTGGCAGGGGGGTCTCCATCAACAGAGCTGCTGGTTTCTTTGTGTCCTGGCAGAGCTTCCCTCGGACCCACCATGTCACCAGCAGTGCCCCAACAGCATCAAGCACTCCTTCCTTTCTTTGCAATGCTCAGTCATCCCTTCGTCTTCTGTGACCTTTCAGCTGGAAACATGTAGAGTGCAGGAACTAGCTGAGTACACCGTCATCTTGTGCATACAGAGGTAACGCTACAGGAGTTTGTTCTCCGAAGAAAATGATAAACTTCTCTGGAAAAAGATGATGATAGTCTTCACACTGCTGTTGAAACTTTAAGCGTTTTTTGGAAGTCATCTCTGTCTGTAAGTGGCAAAATATTTTTAGCTTTTCTTCTCTGATCTCTGACTTATAGCCACATCGATGTTTTGGAAGACAGGGCTCATCCACTCTATCAGCGAGTGATCATCCTTCTGGTGATGCCTTGAGAACTGAGGCTCTGTGGTGCACATGGGAGTGGAAGTGACCTCCTACAGAAGTGAAAGCAGAAGGGGGAGGCATTGCTAGAAATCCTTCTCCCGAGCACCCCTTGGATAAGAGGGCAGTGGAGGCCTCGTGGGCTGCTGCTGTCTGGCATCATGTCCCCTGCTCTGCAGATGCAGTGCCTGGGATTTGCTTTGGTGGCATGGAGTGTCTCTTGCTCTGTACAATGCTCAGCTCAACAGATGATCTCTAAATTAAATGTATACGTTTCTCACTACGCTTTGTGATGACAAAAGGAGCAATGGCTTGTGAACTCAACCTAAAGTTTAGCTTTGCTCTCTGCAAAGAACTACAGGCCGTCTGGTCAAGAAGCAAGGCTCTGAGCTCCTTCTTTGTTTCTATTAGGCTATTTGGGCTGTTCTTGCATCTTTTACAACAGCTACAGGTATGGACGCATCGACCAGCCTTAACCTATGCTGGTGGGGCACTGTGCAGGCCACCTCAGCCACTGTGTGGGCTGGTCCTTGGAGCCCTCCTCAGTACTTTCCTGGTATTTCTAGGCAGAGCTGCTGCCAGCACAAATGCTTCACACCCAGCTTAAGCCTCGCATTGATTGTGTGAACAAACTTTCAGCCTTTCCACTTGGAGAATTTAGAAACTGAGGCATGCAGACAAGGAAACTCTTCTCCTGTGTGCATGACTGCAGAACCTTTAATTTCTAGATGTGCTTTCTGGCTGCACATTCTCAAGGAATGCTCCTTTTGGTATGCTGGCTGCTCCCAGGTAGGGCCCAGTTGCTCTGTGGCCACTGGGGCAGCTCCGGGGTGTTCCACACTGCATAATGTGGACACAAGCAGAGGGTGGGACAAAGGGATGTAGCCACAGCTGGAAAGTAGAGCAGTGAAGTGCTGTGGGCACCTCAGGATGCTGGCAGGCTAGGGGATGCTCCCTGGAGTACCACTGTTTACAGCTTGCAGGCAGCAGGGGCTGCACTACTTAATGCCTGTGATAAAATGGGCATCCAGCCCTGCAAGAGGTGAGATTACCTTTGCTAGAGACGACCTTGTGGATGTCACCCTCGGTCACTGGAAAGCTTTCATGTCAGATTGATTTTTTCTGTGCGTGAAGCAGGCTTGCTTTCTCAGGCAGCAGTTTTTCAGAGGGCCGAGGGCTGCCTGAACCTTTGCCACTAATGCTGTCACCCTCTAATAAAGGCATTGATTTGTAGCATGGAGCTGGGATACCTGGGACAGCTGTCACTCTGCCCCAAAGTCATAAATCGCTGTGGCCTCCCTCATCTGCCAGTCCTCTGTGATTAAAGCGAGAGCTCCTCTGAAGCAATGAATCACAGCAGCTCATAGGCATTCGCTTGCCACCTTACTGCTGCAGCCCACTCTGCGTGTTGTCCAGGCACCGTTTGCCTGACATAAACAATAGATAAGATGTCAAACATACAGAATTGCTCTGGTAGGAAACAGCAATGATCTCTGCAGCTCCAGGTTTCTTTTTTCCTTTTAAGTTTGGAAATGAAATGTGGGGGTTCTCCAAAACCAACATAAACACTTGGGTGGTTGGCACTTTCCTTTGTTTGTGCATATAGAACACGTTTCGGTGCAGCAGGGAGAGAGATGCTGTTAATATCTAGTACTAAGCATGCAAATTACTACTAGGTTTTGTGTAAGCAATTTAGAACCCCTTGGTTTTTTCCACAGTGCTCCTTTCTATTTATCAGTTTGTTTCTCTGCTCACCTGCGTCTTCATTCATCATTCATTTACACAGCCATTCTGAGTATCCGAAACCAATTTCCTCTCTGAACCTGGTCCTGTACCAAAGCAATGCTACCCCGCGTGAAAGCGATGTCATGAAGGTATATGCTGTTCTGAGCAGAGGAGTGTGTCGCAGGAGGTGGATTAAGACTAAAAAGAAGACAGAACTCTGTGTTTCATGGAATAAGTCTTGTTTTGAGCTCAGCATCTCTCCACAACAGAAAAATAGATGCTTTCCATTTAGTTCTCCCACGCAGGTTTGCAAACTGTCGTCAAGCCGCACGTCAAGGTAACGGACACTGAAGTTTGACTCGTGCTTTTGTTCTCCTCTAGCTCTTGTGTCCCCAGTGTCTGTCTCCGCTCAGACAAGTTAACAGGCCCCAGCCCACCCAACAAGCAGCTGGTGAGTAGCTCCCAGTGCCGCATGTGGCTCTGCTGCTGATTCACTGCCTTGACAGAGATCCAAGGGCCCCACTTCGCACTCCCTCCAGGGCGTGCGTGCTTCTGCATGCAAGCACGCCACAGGCAGCCCGTGCTCCAGCCCTATCTGCAGATAGCAAATGTAAATCACCCTCAGTGTTGTGCAACCATTGTGTTATATCCTTGCAAATCGGTCAGTCTGCTCACCTGCACGAGTGCTTGCTCCTGTGTCTCTGCCTGGTGCATCCTTGCTGGTGTTAATGACTTCAGCCACCTGGCCCCTCCACAAGGTAAGGAGCTCCTGTAGCTCTTGATATCTTCTTGGAGGTAGGGCTGGGGGAGCTGATGGATGTTGGGTTTGGAGTTGTCCTGGAACATCCAGGCTTGCATTGCATGCCCCCCCTCTCGCTGACACCTGAATCCTGCGTAGGCTGTGTAGATGTAGGATGTGGAGGAGAGATTTGCTGTGGTGGCTCTTACACCACACACTGCTCTAGGTTTACAGAAATAAGTGTCCTTACTGCTTTGTACTTAACTGCTTTCAGAGGCAATGCGCAGTTCAATGGCCAAGTGAGAAGACCTTTGCAAATCTAGCCACACATTACTTGTGAGAAATAACAATCATGCCTTGAAATTGTTGCTGTTGGCTTTGGTGTTCTGATGTTGCTTTGGTTCTGCTAGGGTTGAGGAAATATACTTCCTAGGAGCTTTGTGTCCTGCTCTTGCAGCCTTGCTTACTCCCACAGCACAGCAGGAGCCATACACAGGAAGGGGTCTGACCTATAGGAAAGCTTGTCAGAGACTTGAAGCACTCCTGATGTCTTCCACTCTATCTCATGCTAAATAACTGCCCCATCCATGTTCTTGCTGTAGCAACCCTGCTGTCAGTCCTCCTCCAGCGTGCAGGTTTCAGATAGCCCTTTGCAACTGACAGAGCTCTTGGAGCTGAGCAAGAACACATCTGCAGTGTTGCTATCAGAAGCAGCTGAAGGAACTGGGATTGCTCATTCTGGAGAAGGCCCAGGATAAATATTGCTTTCTATAACTACCTGAAAGTAGGTAGTAGTGAGGTGAGGGCCAGTTTCTTCTCTGAGTTAGCGGTGATAGAACAAGAGGTAATGGCCTCAAGTTGCACCAGGGAAGGTTCAGGTTGGATATTCTCAGGAGTGGTGAGGCACTCATACAGGCTGCCCAGGGTGGTGTGGAATCACTGTCCCTGGAGGTATTCAGGAGCTATGGAGATGTGACACTGAGGGGCATGGTTAGTGGCCATGGTGGGGATGGGTTGGAGTTAGACTTGGGGATCTTAGTGGTCTTCTCCAACCTCAATGACTCTGTGATTCTATCAGCCATTCTGTAACCTCTGCTTCTTATTCTTGTATTCTTGTCATTCTTATTCTTATCACTGTACTTTAAATCTGTTCTGTAGTCAGACTTAACATGCACATGAAAGTGTATGTGTGTACATAAATGAGTTATTCATGTACGTGCTCTGGAAAGGTTGGGAAGCAGCAGGCCAGGATGCTGCCCAGCCTTCTGCTCTAGCACACGGTATTCCTGTTTTGTGCAGCCACAACCCTCAGATCTGGATCTCTCATGCCATTCCCACAGATGCTAACCCTGCCTCTCTCTGCCCTGTAGCAGGACGGCCTGGCATCCCTGGCACCAGCAAGGACACGCAGCAGTGACAGGAGCCATACCCTGCCTGCCTCCCCTTCTCTAAGTATGGCTGTGTCTCTGTAAGGTAAGTCTGGAAGGACTCGCGTCACCCCTGCCTCAAGTGCTCTGGGAGGAGAGGTGGATTGCAAGGGCTGCAATCCAAGCACAAGGCTCTGATTTCAATCTCTTCCCAAGAATTTTGCTCTGTGCTGTAGGCAGCACCTGGAGATGACTACTCTCACCTGCAGTCTCTGAACATCTGAGGTGTTCTGGTGGCCCCCATCTCTTCCCAGCTGCTGCCACACCAATGGCATGGCATTTCCCACTGTCCCTAATGGGCTCCTTGCCACCCACTCCACTCCCTTCTGGAGAAGCCTGGCCAGCAGCAATTAAGCAGCAAGCCAGGCCACAAAATGGCACCTGTTGGCTAGTGATAGGGCTTAGCACATCAGGTTCATCTGCTGCACGTGGGTGTCAGCATAGACCCCTCTGTGCAGCTGGGCTTGAGAGCATCAGGCTACATGCTGGCACTTCTGGGCTGTATGTGTTCGTAAATACAAGCGGAGGGGAATAAGCTCTATTAGTGACTTGCACAGTAAAAACCTTTTATAAAGGATCAAGCAGAAAAGGTAGTATTTAATTATCTCCATCGAATTATCAGTACAGGAAAGCAATGGCTGGAGTGGCTTGAGCTGTTGTAGGCTGGCTTCCTTCATTGTGACAGTAGGAGGACTGAGGCAGGGCAGATAGGTCCCAGCCCTGTGCAGCACGGCTTGGCCCCATAGAACCATTGATCCAGGGCAGCTCAGGGTTCAGCCTGTGCTGTTCAGACCCCATTAAAGGCTTTTTGGGTAGCTATACATCATTAATTAACCGTGCGACTGTTGACTGAATCATTTCGTCTTGCTGTCGCTGTCGTTTGCATTCTTCTACTCTTTGAGAATGTTCTTTAGGCCAATACTCGAAATACATTTTTGAAAGAGGCTGGGTGGTGAAGGAGGTGTCAAAATAGGACCAGGTGATTTATATGCTGCTGATTAAGTTTAAATAATTGAAAAGTGCTGGTATTCTGTGACTTTCTTCCTCCCTACATACTTGCGATTAATCATTTGTTTTTCAGCCTAAGGTTTTCCTTCTAGATTTCACTCCCAGATTTTTCCTCCTGAGTTCTGCCACGTACTTTAGATTTACTGAGGATTACTCCTAAGCATGGCATGTCGAAAGATTTGTGAGAAGGCCGAGAATAAGATAAATGTGAGATTACGAGAGACAGCATCTTCACAGCAATCGTATCTTTCAAAGAGCAATCAGACCCACTGAAAGGCAGGGAAACCTCAGGCCAAGTTTCAGTTCAATATCACGTAACCAAGCACACCTCAGAGACAGAAATTACTAACAATGATGATAGTCATCTGGAGTTTTCCTAACAAATAATTTGGAGTGACTTTTATTGTAGTTATCTGAATCTTCACACCTCCTTTCCCTGGTAGTATCTGGGTTAATTTCTCCTCACATTAGAAAACAGGCAGTGTTTAAAAAAAAAAAAAAAAAAAATGAGTCACCAATAAAAGATGGGAAAACACTGGCATGGATCATCAGCTCTTCAGGCCCACTTGTTGTCCCAAGTGCTGATGGATGAAAAGCTGAGGGTGGGAGCAGGCACAGGGCACAGGAATCACACTGTGACCCATGGGTAGATAAAAGCCTGAGGGAAAGCACCCTGAGCCCAAGAAGTCTTAAAGCAGGCTGGAAAATCTGATTGCTGCTCTCTGTTCTACTTTATCTTCTGATTTACCTGAACAATGAAAATCGTTTTTACCCCCAAATTTATCATTGCTCCTTGTCAGTATTTTGCAGCTAGGCAGTAGGAGTGGGCACATATGCTTGAGATTATGACATAAATGCCTTTGCATGCATGTTTTCCCAGTGTCAAAATAACATACCTAGCGGGTATGGGGAAAGAATCATTGTATATTTCTTAAAAAAAAAAAGTGTTGGGACTGCCAAATCCTGACCTTATTGTGGGTAAACTGCTCAGAGTTGCAATAATCAGTCATTTACAGTCAGCTTAAGTGCTCTCTGCGCCAGTAATTCTTTTTGTAAGACTGTCATGGAAAGTTCCTTCGAAGCCATAAGGATTAGTTCACGTTTGTGAAGGATCTGAGATCTTTGCATTGGGTACCGTGGCTGGATGTGATGCTCTTACTGATGAGGGCTGTATGACATACAGACTCGTGCATAAATTATCTGCGTCGTTCTGAGCAATTAGGTTTAGCGGTGTGATCGTCCACCAATAATCAGATTGGTAAATGAAGACAGGACATGATCTAGTCCGTACAAGAGAAACAGGTTCATCAGATCAAGTAGATTTGTATTTTTCTCTTATCTCTCAATTTAAACAGATTCCACTGAAAATCTCAATTTGCAGTCGTGCCTCAAAGGATTTACTCTTAACTATTTATACTGTGTTGCTCTCTGTTTCATCTTTGTTTCTCCAAGAAAGCTATATAGTAGTTTGTGACATTTCCATTAAGATCCTTAACGTTAAGCAGTTATTTAGAACCAAAGGCCCTTGCCCTAAGATACATATGGTTGCACTTAAGCAGAAATCACCGCTTTATGTTAGAAAATATTGTTTTCATCATAAAAGGTAAGTGTTCCCAGAAGCATATTAAAATGCTCAGAGATACAAAAGAAAAGTATTGGAATTCAATCTTGGGGTACCAATGTAAAAATATTTAAATGTGCTATAAATTGAGCAGATCCAGCACCGTTCACTGAAGAGTCTTTCAGGTTATTAAAATACTTTCTGTTCAATGAGAGACACTAAAAGTAATCATGCAGTTTTTGTGCTGTTCAGTGTTCGGAACACTTCTGGATATACTTCTTCAATAAAGTTCCCTGGGTCACAAACAAAACTTTCAGCTCCTATGAGGAGCAATGAGGCTAGAAGAACGCGTCATAAAAAAAAGTGGAAGGGAATGGGTATAGATTGTATTTAATTCAGCTCTAGTAGAGGCGATGAAAGGACTTGAGTGGCTGAAGTGGACGGATTCCCAGTGACATCTGTACACCCAAAGGCTTGGCATGTGCAGTGTGTGGCAAGCATCAACCCACGGAACATATGGAGAAGAGCAAGGTGGTGATCGGCCTCTTTTCCCAGAAAATGAGTGATAGGTTGAGAGATAATATCTTTAAGTTGTTCCAGGGCAAGTGCAGGCTGCATACAAGGAAAAACTTCCCAGAAGGAGTGGTAAGGAATTGGAACAGGCTGCCCAGGGAGGTGGTGGAGTCACAGCCCCTGATGGTGTTTAAGAAATGTGGAGATGCGACACTGTGGGAACAGTTATTGGGCACGGTGGGGATGGGCAGGAGTTGGACTTGGGGATCTTAGTGGTCTTTTCGAGCCTTAATGACTCCATGATTCCTTAAGGTGAGTAGGCAGAGGAAATTATGGTGCTTTTATACCAGTCTGGCTCTTAGTTTTGGAAATGCAGAAGCTGGTTTTTCATCCCCTCTGGAGCAATGGGGAGGATGCTGCAAAGTGAGCAAAACCAACCTCAAACGTGTGATGTGAATAGCAAGGACAAGAAGCAGCAGTGTTTTCACCAGCAATCTTTAACACTGCTGGGTTTGATGCCTTTGCGATAAAATCTTGACTAAGTTTGCACAAAATCTTCCCTTAGGCTTGCCCCTATCTTTGAGCAGTTTGACGATGGAAAGAGTTCAAACTTCAACTCTGCCGCGTCACAATGATTAAGATCAAGAGATAAAATTCACCTCAATAAACAATGCATCTAAAGAGATGTACCATGTTGAGTGTGGAATTGCTCTCGGTAACGGCAGTGAACGACCCTATCAAAAAGCTAAGCAGGTGTAACAGACACCATGTGAGGCACAGAGCATCATGCAAATCCCTGAAAGACAACAAATGTACGCGAGGCTTCACGTGTGCCAACAGCCCCGAGCTCAAGCCTGCACATAACTCTGCAAAATAACATTTCCTCTGTGAAAACGTGTCTCTGCCAGGTCTACCAGCAGGATGGGGGACCTTCTGGCTTGGCCTCTACGTTTTCACCCCAAAACCTGCTTCTGAAGCTCCCATCTTCAGAACAGAGATGGTAAGGCTGGGTGTCTGGTAGGTGGGTTGCCCACAGGGGTTTGCGTGCACTTTGCAGAGGATGTTTTGAAAAGACCTTGTGTTAAAGGATCCTTGCAGGAATTCCTATGCAGGGAAAGCTTTATTTATTTAGGTCAACTTTAACACTATTTCCTGACTGTTGTGAATATCATCTCATGGGAGAATTTGTTTGTCGTTTTAGTCACAGAATGATAGGATAAAAATATCCTGGTCAATTACAAGTCTAGTTGGTATGGGAACTGGTTTTTTTTTGTTGTTGTTGGCTTTTTTCTTCTTTTTTTTTTTTTTTTTTTCTCAGTGCTGGAGCCTAGCTGGAGGTTACTAGTTTACTAATTACCCTTGGTCCAGTGGTGACTTCCTACCAGTCCAGTTCTATTTCCTATCATCTTTTAGAGTGCTTTTCTCCTACATTGCTGTTTCCCTGTTCCCATCATCCTCCGTTGTCATCCTGCTTCTTCCTTTTTTACACGGAGGTGTCAAAGGTAGCACAGCTACATTTGAAAAAGTTCATCATATAAATGCAGAAACAAAGTCAAGGGTTGCTCTTACACAGAACTCTCCAGCACTCCTCAGTAATTCTTGCATGATACGCACCTAATTCCTGGTGCTGGCTGCTAACTCCATGTATAGTTCCTTCGGCAGCTATTTTGTTCTTAACAATAACACATCTCCATCACACTGAATGAGGTTCAAAAACACAGCTGTTGCAGAGAACTCCCATTCAAGCTGATAGGGTATTTGACTGCAAAGAAGTAGATTAATACAGTTTTGGAGATAGTTTCCTTTTAAACATTAGCTTATAAAGGAACTGAAGTGTGTGTTTACTTTTTACTTATAAGTACAATTAAGACAAATCCCTCTTTGTTCTGGAAGTGCTAAAGTTCTCCCCTAACTCAGGGCTATACCAACAGCATTTTAAAAGGTGGTGAGGTGTATCTTTTTTTTCCCCCAAGTTCACAGTGCCTTTTTTGCTCTTTTTGAGCAAAAAGAACGTGAACAACGTGAAGAGAGTCAATTTAAAAGGTTGATCCGTCGGCAAATACTTCCCCTGGGGTTACATGAAGTGAAATGGATTCTTCATTGGAGAAGGAAAGTGTCCCCCAGTATGTCAAAGCACCCAGTAATCAGGTTGCAATAGTAACAGATTACGGCTGTCATGTTTCTTTTTTTCCAGGTTCTGATTTCTCTCCCTATCTCTGGTTTTATTCTAGTAAGAGATACCCAGTGGCTCATTTTGCTCAGGTCATCCAGGAGAACTTACGTGGGCCAATAGTTTCCATTACATTTATCTCATCTTCTGTCTTTTGCAGCTAACTTAAGTGAGTGCCACACAAGCAGACGAGATATAGCCTGAACTGCATTTGCATCCGTGGTAGTCTGAGGAAAAACAAAGCGGGAATGTTTAATTCTAGAAGTTGTCCTGAATCACACCTTCTCCATAAATAACAAAAGTAGCTGAAGGAAAACTACTCCAGCTTTGCTGCTTTCTCCATAGCATGAGAGCAATGTCCGAGGCGCCCAGCACTGGGATGGTGGGAACCTAACTGATTTACAGCCTTCCTAGGGGTGCTGAGCTCAAGCCACACGTGGTCTCTCCCTTGGTTTTACCAAGCATAAAGGTGAGCTTGCCACAACTCGAGATCTTTCTGAGAAGTTACTGAGTTACTGCTGTGCTGGGGAGAAGCCGTCGCCCCATGCCAGTGTGCTCCTGGAGGGTGCGTGCTGCTCACTGTCCACCTGAAGGTGCAACCGTGAGACACATTCGATGCAGCCTGCCTACTCCATAGGATTTCCTGGTATTTTGAGGAGACGGAAAGCAAAATGTAATGCTCTAGTGCTTTAAAGGAGGACTGAGCATTGGTGGGAGGCTTGTTCAGTATCTGAGTGGGATCATGACTACGATGTTCATCTGCATGTTACCGGCGTGAAAATACGCAATTGGGAGCGGTTTGAAGACGAGTGGGCTTGGAAGAAAGAAAAACTATTCCAGGGAGGGGAGGAGGAAGGGACTGCTAACGTTTGCAGCACGAAGATCATGGAGAAGATGGAGATATCAGAACAGGATAATTTGCAGGAGGAGGAAATCAGGCATAGATCATTAGCGCTTTATGGGAGGCAACCCTAAAAGCATGCTGAGAGGATGGTATTTCCCCTCTGGGCAGCAGCAGGCAGTGCCAAACCCGCCTGCTGCAGAGGCAGGAGGTTACCAGCCAAGCCAGCACACACCGACCCCGTGGGACCTTTCTTTCAAGCACGCCATGAGCGTGCTGGCATGTAGAGATGCTGGCAGCCACGTTTCACAGCAGTGATGACGCAATATGGCTCTTGTTTCAGAAGCATCTCCTTCAAGTTGACAGATACTGTTAGCGTCTGATTCTGCTCGGATTGCCAGCGCCAGGGTTTGAGACGCTTTCCCGATGAGCTCTGAAGGAGCAGTAAGTGCACGGTGGCTGTGAAAAGCCTTCCAGCCTGCGCTTAGCAGGACAGCCTGCTGCACGCTTCGAGTATGTGAAAAAGCCAACAAATAACAGCTCGCTGCTTTTGTCCGGCGCTTTAAGCCAGGGAAGGAATGTTTGCAGCTCACTTGGGATTTGGTTGTGTTTGGTGGGTTGGTTCAAGGCACCAGGACCTTCCAGCAATGCTCCTCCGGTATTCTTCACATTCTTTTGTCTGAGAGAGGGGAAAATGTATGACTGATTCTTGCTTAATTAGGCCTCATCTGCTAAACAGTTTTGTCACTATTTACATACGAGTAGTCCCGCTGAAGTCAAGTCCTGCAGCTGTATACTTCATCTGGTAACAATGTAAATCCAAGATAAACATACTTGGAACAAGAGAAGTACATTACCTTATATGTACGAACCACCTGAACGTAGCAAGCCCTGCACTGCGCAGCTCTGGCAGAGGCCAACAGCTATGCTGTCTCAGCACCCTGCAGGCACAACACCTGATTGTCGCTCTTAAATTTTGGACTGGACTCGATGAGCTAGGGCTGACTTTTACTGAAGCATATGACTTGCCACACGAATGACTTTGAAATAACTGTGCCCTTCTGCGATAAGCTGAGAAGTTGTTCTCTCCAGCTACTCGCATCAAGTGGTGTCTCATAGCCGGGTCTCCCATGGCCTGGAGATCTGTTCTTCTAGAGATAAGAGCCAGGGATGAGAGGTAGGAGAAGTAAACGGCTGGAAAACCCAGTGAACATCTGGGTTTAATCTCTTCATTCCCTCCTCAGTGCCTCTCCTGCAGGAATCTCTCTGAAGGACCTGGCAGTGGCCTTTCCCTGCTGTCTCTCTGTGACCACTGACATCCTGTCCCTGGTCCCCCAGAACAGTGTGGACCGTTTGGTCACCGGTGAGCATCCCTATGGGATTATGACCGCTTTATCCAACAGCCTCCTCTTCTGCTAGGTAACTCCCATGCATTTGGGCATCCTGTATTACTCTATCCATGACCTTTTGTTCTTCTATACCTTTTATTTCTGTTATCCTGATTACTATTTTTTTTTTCCCCCTATGAATTACTTCAGACTGATATGATGGAAGTGATGAAGAGCAGAACACACCTTCAGCTTAATTTGGTCTGATGCCCTGAGACCATCAGCTGTTATCTACCACAATGAGGTGGAGGGCTTGGGTTGAGTTATCCGAAGCAGTTTCCCAGGAGCATTTCAGGACAGCATTCTAGCATTGGCAAATCCCATCAGTTGTGTGTCCTGTTCCAGCCATAGATTTCCTGGACAAATTTTGTGCAAGTTTTTAGTAAGTTCAGTACCATTACGTCATCAGAATAGTGTGACCTGGCCAAATTTTCCTCTGGATGTTCATAGCAACAGAGAGCTGTGACAAAAAAATGAAACTATCTGAAAGTTAATGGGATGAGAAGGAGAGAGAAGTGCTTTGAATTGACTACTTCTTTACAAGTGATGGAGCTGGAGTGGCTTTCTAGATGAAAGTTCCTTGAGTTATGAAAGAATTACGTAGATGTGATTTTTTAAATGGATCCAGTATTTTTATAGAGTTGTCTCTCCCCAAATCTGCTGAGAAGAACTCTGCAGAGTCAGAAACTTTCAGGACTGGGATACTTACTTGTGCGAATGACCTGTGGGACTTTCTGATTTTGCTCTGCTGAGGAACAGGTGGAAACTGTTGGCTTGGAAGGCTGAAAGAGCACAGCTTATAGCCATCCCACCTACTGAAATGCCTGCAGGGTGGTTTTAACAGAATTTAAAAAGTGGTACTAGCATGACTTCATAACTGCTGCTAACATGAGCTACTAGAACTTGCAGCAGTTGGAAGTTCAGCTTCCCGGTGGATGATCGTTGCCTCAGGATGGGTCTCAGGTGACAAGTGACAGGGCAATTTATTGGGTGCAGCCTTACACCAGCCTCGTGAGCCGCTCGTCCCACCACGTGTCACACAGCAGCGTGTGATGTTGGTGAAGGGGGCCTGCAGTCCTCCTCCAGGCAGGTGTGCTGGAGCCCACCTGGCTTCCCTTTGGCCACTTTGCCCCCAGGACAGCCGAGGCAGGGACATACCAGCTGTACCAGTCTTAGGGCAGCATCTGCTGGTTATTGCATGGATCAACAGAAGTGGTTGTCATGGAAGAGGCTGCTCGCTTTGGCTCCCAGGCAGAGGTACCCAAGGCTGGGGCTGGGGGGAGCACCCCATAAACGCACCTGTAGCAGTCCTTCAGGAGGGAATGGCAAAGGGCGAGGAACTCAGGCTCTGGCTCCTGCTGCGCTCCGGGGGCCACTCCGTGAAGTTGGGCAAGTCCGGAGCCGGATGGCTGCGGTTCTTTCCCGAGGGCTGGGGTGGGCGCGGCGGCGGTCCCCGGGCTGCGGTCCCTGGAGAGGAGAAACGGAGAGAAAATGGGGACGGCGGGGGCAGGGTAGGAGACACTCATTCGGGAGGGCGGGGGGGTAAGGATAGGATCGGGGGGCGTCTGGGGCAGAGAGGACAGGGGGAGCGGGTCGGGAAGGTGCGGCTGGATTCGGTCCGGCTCGCCCAGGCCAGGGTGCCGCGCTCCCCGCGGGTGAGCAACAAGTCCCGGAGCGCTCCCGCGGGAGGACCGCAGGTGGACTTACCTGTGCCCCGCGGGCAGGGCCGGGCACGGCGCCCTGCGGGCCGGGAGACGGCAGGAGCGCTGCCGGGGCTGCGTCGGGCCGGGGCTTTCCTCGGGAACTTTCCGTCCCGCTTCCCGGGGGCGGCCGCGGGCGCGTTTTATAGCGAGCGAGCCGGTAACCCCTCTCATTCATTAGGATCACGTAAGAACTCGGAGGGAAACGTGACTCTGAGCTAAGGCGTTTGCGTACATCTATAGGTTTTTAAAACTCCCTGCCAGTCGCTTTCTGTCTTCTGTAGGCACCAAGGTGGTGGAGAGTTGAAGCTCACGGATATTGCAAAGGGTTATTAGATTCATAAGTCACACCAAGTGGTGGGCGATCCACTGAGCAAAGCAGAAGTTCTCACATGATGACTTCAAACAAGACACATTACCTTCCAGCATCTGTTGGAGAGACCAGGTTTTAAGACACTTCTGTCTCCAGGACAGCAAAGAAACAATGGTGAGTACCTATAAAAAAAAAAATCATCATAATTTTTTAAAAAGCGTATTTTTGTAACTGGAAAAAAAAAAAGAAAAGAAAAAAAAAAAGAAAAATCTGGAGATGTTGCTTAACGACAGAGTGCGATATCACGGGCTCGGCTTTCGAGTACTTAACGCGCCCGGGGCTCCGACCCAGCGCGATGGCGGTGCGGCCGGCGCAACTTTCACCCCAGCGTTCTTGGGCTGCGAGGAAAGCCCGAGGAACTCGGAGCGGAGGAGCGGGCGGGGGGCGCGGGGCGCGGGCAGGGCCGGGCGGAGGGCGCGCAGAGCCGCGCTTTTCACGTGACGCCAACGGGGGCCGCGCAGGAAGCGCGCAGCGGGCGCGCAGCGGCGGCGGCTGCGGCGGGGCAGCACCCTGGACAGAGGCGGCGGTGGGGGCGGCTCCGCGTCCCGCCCCGCTGCGCGCCTCTTGCGCGGCCCGGCGGGGGTAGGGGAGCCGCTGGCAGCCGGCGCCGACCCCCCCGCCCCTCGCTCCCTCCTTCCCTTCCCCTCCCCTCCCTTCCCGCCGGAGCTGGGCGAAGTTGAATTCCTAGCGGCGCGGGCTGCGATAGGAAAAGGAGGAAAGGGAGGGAAAAAGAAAAAAAAAAAAAGAAAAGAGTCTTGCGAGCTCCGGGGGTTGGTTTGACGGTGTCAACTTTGGGAAATGCGAGTGTTTATCTCCGCGATCTAGCCACTGCCGGTGGTGTTGGCTGTGAGCAAGGTAAGCAGAGGGGTGACTCCCCCCCCTCTGGCTCTGCCTCCCGCTTGGTGCTGTGGGGATGGGTTCCTGCTCTGTGCCGAGTTTTGTTCCCTTTGTGGCGGGGCTGTGCGTGGAGCGTAGCAAAGGTAGGAGACGCGTTATGAGATTGCGCTGCGAGTTGAGTTAAGTTGTGCCTGATATTATCTGGGAATCTCGTATCTCGATCTGCGTGTGCATGCTTTGGGCAGAGATGCAACCGATCGTTACCGAAATAAGCAGATGCGCCGGGTTTTTTTCCTAGCTGAGGATGGAAGTTGATTTTGCATAGCTGAAGAGCTGCAGCTCAGCTCTGGCTGGCACTGTGCACAGCTGATCTCACGCAGATAAAGAGACGCAGCTGAGCTGCACCTCCATGGAGCCGCCCGGTGCCCAGCGCGGGGGTCACCGATGGCTCCGCGGTGTGTGTATGTGTGCGTGCGTGCAGCCCCCGACGGAGCGGAGCGTCCTGCGCTGCCGATCCCATGTCCGCAGCCGCTTGCCTAGAAATGAAAGGGGGGAGGTGTTTGACGAGCCTGAAACCCAAACGCAGTCCCCCGCCTGGAGATGGCTCGGATAAGCTTTCTGCTCGCCTCCCTCTCTCGAGTGCCCCCCTCCCCTCCCTCTTCCGATCCTTCCTACGTAGAAATGTAGCTAATAATATTTAGTCTCCGGGCTAAAAATAAGCTCTGGAAAGTCAGCAGTTTGGCGGAGCAGCGGCGGTGTAGCAGGTAGAGAAGCTCTGGGGTTCTGCGTGGAGCCTGTGCATCGCTCTCCCTCCCGAACCCGGGCTGCTGGGGGGCAGGGGGCTCCCGAGGAGGAAGGGGCCGTGCTGCCTCCGCCGGGGGATCCCGGCCGCCCGCCCCGGTGGAGACGCTCCGACTCCCCCCACCCCGGCACCGCTCCCTGCGGCAGAGCCGGCGGCGCCCCGCTGCGGCGCCGGCCCCGCCGGGGAGGCAGGGAGGGAAGGAGGGAGGAAGGGAGGGAGGATCCCGGCGCCCCCGCCTCCCCGGGCTCCCGCGGCGGCTCGCACGTAGCGCCGAGCAGGGAACCCCGGCTGGCACGGCCGGGCGTCCCCCCACCCCCCCCCCCCCCCCCGCCCCAGCCCCGCCGCCCCCGCCGCGCGGTTACCGCGGCGACCGCCTCCCGCCGGGGTCCCGGCAGCGGGGGCCGGGGATGCCATCGCCCCGGAGCCAACATGGAGCTGCCGCAGGAGCGCCGTGCGCTGTGCGGGGGGCTCCTGTCCGCCCCGCTCCGGGAGCGGCCGCCTCCCTGCCGGGCAGCCCGGGGAGGGGCGGGGAGCAGCCGGGTGTTTTTCCACTGCCAGTTGGAAAGTTGCGCTGCCGGGACGTTTCTCGGCAGCGCCCGAGAGAGGAGAAAGTCGTGGAGGAGGAAGAGGCCGCTCTGGGAGCGGCTGTCGTCGGCAGGATGGAGGGAGCCCGAACGCGGCTCCTTAGAAGCGCCGGGTTGTGAGACTCCTAAGGAAGCATCCTCTGACCTCTCCTCGCTCGGGAAGGAGTCAGGTGGCTGAGAGCTGAGTACGTGTGCTGCGAACTAGAGGCGGTGAGCCCTGCCGGAGTCCTGCCAGTTCCCCCAAACTGCTCTCAAGGAGCTTCTGTTTACGTGAATTTCCCACCCCGGAGACCGCCGTGTATGTCTTCATTCACTTTAATTTTACACCCGGTATTCTGTCAGCAGCCTTTCCAAACTCCCAGTTCTACTGTTGCCCTTTCTGCCACCGCCACCCTGTTTGTGCAGAACTCTCTGCGAGATGGATGGGACGTGTGGCTGCTAACAAATGACACTGGGCCATATTTGGTCGCATTT